AATTGTGTGTGTGTGTGTGTGTGTGTGTGTGTGTGTTAGGGATGCACAGGTACCAGACTACCTGATTCCAGCCAAGTGTGGAAGTTAAAAACAGCCAAATCCAGGTAACTCAAAATTGTATCTAAGCTCTAATCTTCGTGAAAACTAGCACAGTACTGAAAGTTACAGTCAATAATTGGTTTAGTTAAAAAAAATTTCTGAGCAACAAAGACTACCTGCCTGCTGAAAGTTGGGGATTCAGAGAACAATAAGGGTTAATAACAGGTATGGCTTGAGAAGTGAATTTCTGGGGAAGTGGGGGCTGAAAGTAAAACTTGAATGTTCTGTTGGTGATTATTTGGGTAATTGTAATAAACGTCAATTTTGTTTCTAATTTCTGTGTATGTTTTTTTTTGGGGTGGGGAACCCAGTCCTGGATGACACTTAACCCTGCCCGAAGTGTAGTGACCAGGTACCTGGACCCAGTATTTAGCCAAATTTTACTACCCGTGCATCCCTAATATATTTATTTATAAGATAGTTTCAAACTACAAATTAATAAAATGTCATGCACATGTAGCTCATAACATGATTATTTATGACAGCTGTGTACATCAAGTAGCAATTGTATAACAAGAAAATCCTTTCCACAACAGTGGGCCACTTCTTAATCTGCGACTTAATCCTATCCTCAATAGTGGAACACCTGAAGAAAGGCTTTGCAAACATTGTCCTTTCCACCCGAGCTACTTTTGTAGTCTTCAAATGTCACCAAACTCTTGTATGGTCAAATACTTGTCCATTTTCTATGTTTTACTTTGAGATTATGATATATTTAATATTTGTTTCACTCTTATAAAAAATTTAGTTGCCTGTAGACTGTTTGGTAGATTATTCTAGAAATCCAGAAACTGGTGACAAAGACTGCGTAACGTTGGTTTTAGTTGGAACCGAGAAACTGGTGACAAAGACAGTGTAACGTTGATTTTAGATGGAACCGAGAAACTGGTGACAAAGACAGTGTAACGTTGATTTTAGATGGAACCGAGAAACTGGTGACAAAGACAGTGTAACGTTGATTTTAGATGGAACCGAGAAACTGGTGACAAAGACAGTGTAACGTTGATTTCAGTTGGAACCGAGAAACTGGTGACAAAGACTGTGTAACGTTGGTTTTAGTTGGAATCGAGAAACTGGTGACAAAGACTGTTCAAGATTTCTAACCACAGAACTTTTATTTCAAATACATTCACAATAATCTCATTACAGATCAAAAACAAAGGAATTTCTTTAATCCATCAGACAGTCAGCCTCCTGTTAGAGCAGGTTTGGGACTAATGTCGTCATATTTATTAAAGAAGTGATCTAAAGAAGTTCCTTACGACAATTATGCACCTGCTGTAGAAGGTGGAGCTTTGTTTTATTGAACTAAAGCACTAATTAATTGATAATGTCATGTATGGCTTATTACAATCAATAAGTATACTATAATTTACAGAGATAAATCAAGATTGTAGTTTAACAATGTATTTTCTATTAACAGTCAAAGAATTTAATATTATAAAATCAAAACTTTTAAAATCATAAAACCAAATTATTTGTGGTATGATAACAACCATAACATTAGAATCATCAGTATGACATATTATTTAAGTACTTTATTTTTTGATAACATTAGCTCCATCTACACTTCTACAGCAGGAAATTAACCTCAGCAACCTTTTTGCTTAATGGATTCCCCAGATCTTCTAGTCACCGACAAGGTTGTAAACACCTGTTTAAAGAAAAGCATCGTAAGAAGTCACTGACACTCTAAACAGAAAGATATTTCAAATACATTGAATGAAGCATCTCTAAGGATCATTGGAATAAACCAATAATAATTTATGTGAATGTTTATTTTACACATCTGAGTAGATTTACCAATAAACCTACAAATTTAATAATTTAATTTTGTACTTTTATTAGGGGCAATGGTATTAAATCTGGTTTTACCTCAGCACAAGTTGGGTGGATTCCTATAGTGGCATCAAAATCTGCTTTTGTTGCTCCTTTCTTAATTCCTATGGCAAATCCCTGAGTTACCTCTCCTGCATTAGGTCCTAAATAATGAAACCCAATCACTCGCTCCTGAAAAAAAAGACGATTCTAATTTTAGTATTATACATTAATTAGTTTGATAATTTAAAAGTAGATATATATATAAAAAACTCTCTAAATATCAATTTGGACATCACAAACGTTTAACTTCAACCAATGCTGCATTCAACATAATCCATGCGACAAATACAAAGTTTATAGTTTCTTATGAATTAGATACTCAAATTACAGATACTGACAAGCTAGGATATAAGATAAGAACCTCCTATCTTTTCTATTTGCCAAGATAATATATTTATTGAATCAACCAAGATGGCCTCGCACGTCTCTTCAATTTTTGAAAATACTTGCCCAAGTACACTCACTCCACCCAATCACGTGTGTATACACTCACTCCACCCAATCACGTGTATAACCAACTTAAAGCTCAGTGTTTCCCTAGTGGCTTTCTTAGCCTCTGCGAAGTATTTGTATGGTAAACTTTCTTTTCATGCTAGATTCAAAGCCATAAAGTAAGACATTAGCCAGCTCGAAATTTCATACATTTTTTAGACCCAAATACATCTTAGTTATAGTGGAGTTCTATGGTATTTATAAAATATTTTATGATTTTTGGTTATTTTAAAGTTTATATAAAAAATCTTAAAAAAATTTTTATTTAACATCCTTAATGTGCAAAACTTGATAAGGCTTAGCAACCTAAGGCAAGCAGCAAACATGTACAAAGTTCGTAACTAGAAGGTATAATTATTTGCTATACTGTTCTAGGTTTTAAGAAAAATAAGTTTATGAACTTATTTGTAAATAGTTAATAACTGAAGTGTGACTATTTTACAAAATACTAGTCCCCTAAAGCACAGCCAAAACAGATCACTTTGTAAAGGCTAGTTTTATATTTTTGGATACAGTAACATGGGTGAACGTGGGCTACATCATTGCAACTTCTGTGATGTTAGCAAAGTATCGATGGAAATAACCGATAAAATAAAGTTTTCTTAAAAAACATTTGATAATTATCTGAAGGTTATAAACATTTTGTATGTGAAAATTTAAAATGTTCTGATGCATAAAAGTATTTTTAATCTCAAAATCAGAATTACTTTGCATATTCATAGTCAATATTTGGAAAAAAAAAAAGGCACGAGAAAAAGTAGTACTTGAAAAAAAAAAAAATACAGATATTTTCCATACAAAAAAAAAACTGATATTTTCCGTAGAAAAGCTTTGTACTGTTTGCTGTAATGCAAAATTTTATGAAGATACATTTACTCTTATAGCATGAAAACTATAACAAGCACAAAATGGTTATGAGGTCGGTTCCCGGGACCGAGCCGAGAGAATTAAATAGCATACCTCACCTACCCTCTATCAAACCCCATACAGCCAGACCCAAGTATAACACTAATTATATTAAACACCATACAGCCAGACCCAAGTATAACACTAATTGTATAAAACACCATACAGCCAGACCCAAGTATAACACTAATTACACTAAACACCATACAGCCAGACCCAAGTATAACACTAATTACACGGTATGCTTCCTCTATCAACACCAACAGTATAACACTAATTATATTAAACACCATACAGCCAGACACAAGTATAACACTAATTATATACTTACATTTTCTGGTTTGAGGCAAATGAGTTTTGCGTAGCAAACATTTTCACTTTTCTTTGGTACTGTCCACTCCAGAGGCAGGAAATTGGTATGGTAGACCTGAAGTTAAGTTAGAATATTACTGGACCTGGTCATTACAACTAATTTAATACAGTGGTAAGGAAATTGGTATGGTAGACCTGAAGTTAAGTTAGAATATTACTGGACCTGGTCATTACAACTAATTTAATACAGTGGTAAGGAAATTGGTATGGTACACCTGCGGTTAAGTTAGAATATTACTGAACCTGGTCATTACAACTAATTTAATACAGTGGTAACATTATACACCTAAATTATATAATAATAAATTATGTTTAAAAAAAAGTATTTTCAGGAAAATTATATAAAGAGAAGGTGGACGTCCAAACTACCCGTTACGCAAGTTCATAAAGAGAAGGTGGACGTCCAAACTACCCGTTACGCAAGTTCATAAAGAGAAGGTGAACGTCCAAACTACCCGTTACGCAAGTTCATAAAGAGAAGGTGGACGTCCAAATTACCCGTTACGCAAGTTCATAAAGAGGAGGTGGACGTCCAAATTACCCGTTATGCAAGTTCATAAAGAGAAGGTGGACGTCCAAATTACCCATTACGCAAGTTCATAAAGAGAAAGTAGATGTTCAAATTACCCATTACGCAAGTTCATAAAGAGAAGGTGGATGTCCAAATTACCCATTACGCAAGTTCATAAAGAGAAAGTAGATGTTCAAATTACCCATTACGCAAGTTCATAAAGAGAAGGTGGACGTCCAAATTACCCATTACGCACAGCAACTTTTGATATTTTAATATAAAATGAATAATTTTTTAACTATTTATCAAGACAAAAAACACTTACTTCAATGTTCTCCTCTCCATACTTTTCTATTGCATGCTCTTCAGGGTATCCAATACAACCATACTCCAGTGGTGTAAAAACTGTAGTAGGCACATTGAGATAATCACACTAACAAAAAATAGTAATCTTAATATCACGTACATTCCCAGAGATAATCACACCAACTAACTAACAAAAAAATAGTACTTTTAACATCACGTTCGTTCCCAGAGATAATCACACTAACATTAGCAGGATTGGCAAGTTTAAAAATAACCAACCAACCAACATAAGCATGTATACAAAGTATAACCAATAAATGTGCCAATAGTGTATATCCACTCCCTCATGTGCTGCAACTTATTCAGATCAAAATGCTATAATATCATGAAGTACTACTGAAAACTAGATATTTAAAACTGTTATGAAAATGTTAAAGATTTTAATTTCATTGAAATACCTGTAATTCTCCATTTCCATAAAGCCGTCGAGCTAGTAGGGTTCCTGCTTCAATAGCCACGGGAGTTAGCTCCAACTTGCCCTCTAGAATGTCTCCAATTGCATAGATATGTGGAATGTTTGTTTGCTCTGCCATCGTTGGTATTTTCCCGTTTCTGTAAAAACAAAAGTAAGGAATGGTAAACATACGAAATTCAACCGTTGATAGTTATTACAATAACAGCAAAGAAACGAACTGTACAAACAAGTTATTCTATTGTCCAAGTTAAAACTAATAAGAAACTCCTGCAAGTTTTAAATGTTGTATTAGTTTTTTTATGAGATAGATAAAATTGTCGTCACTGTGCGTGTGTTAACCTTGCAAGTTACATACATTTAGTGTGTATCAGAAAAGTTAGAAGAAAAAGATCGTTTTTTGGCAATTACTTTGTAAAGAAAGATAAAAACATAACAATATATCAAAATTACTTTCTTTCTTGTAAGTAAATAAAGTACAAAAATTATACACACAACAGATAACTCTAGAAGAAATGTACATTGACCTACTGATGTACTTACTTTGAATTTACTTGTACCCCAGCTACATCGAGACCAATACCGGAGGTGCAGGCATCTCTTCCAACGGCAAAAATTACCTGAACACAGAAACCTTAATAAATACCAATTCTACAAACCGGCAAAACTAAAGATGTCAACACATAACACAGAAACCTTAATACACACCAGTTCTACAAACCGGCAAAACTAAAGATGTCAACACATAACACAGAAACCTTAATACACACCAATTCAACAAACCGGCAAAACTAAAGATGTCAACACATAACACAGAAACCTTAATACACACCAATTCAACAAACCGGCAAAACTAAAGATGTCAACACATAACACAGAAACCTTAATACACACCAATTCAACAAACCGGCAAAACTAAAGATGTCAACACATAACACAGAAACCTTAATACACACCAATTCAACAAACCGGTAAAACTAAAGATGTCAACACATAACACAGAAACCTTAATACATACCAATTCAACAAAGCAGTAAAACTAAATATGTCAACATACAAAAAAGTATTTGAAAAAAATATTAATTTAAGAACACAAAGATCAAGGGTCAAGTTAACCGTTATTTTACAAGTAACTACCTTGTATCAATACTTGATGTATTTAAAAACTGGATACAATGTTGTAAGAAACAAAACTGTTATCCCACCCATCTAGCTACAAGTTCTCACGGCTATGAGAATCCATGTTTACGTTACTTTAGCTAGCTGTTTTGGGGCTTACTTGATAATGATGAAAATTAATGGGAGAATTGCAGAAAAATACTCTTTTAGACACCGGATAAAGATCCATGTCACAATGGAAACCCCTACCGATGGGGTGTCTATCAAGTCCATCGGTAGGGGTTTCCATTGTGACATGGATCTTTATCCGGTGTCTATCAAGTCCATCGGTAGGGGTTTCCATTGTGACATGGATCTTTATCCGGTGTCTATCAAGTCCATCGGTAGGGGTTTCCATTGTGACATGGATCTTTATCCGGTGTCTATCAAGTCCATCGGTAGGGGTTTCCATTGTGACATGGATCTTTATCCGGTGTCTATCAAGTGGATAAAGATCCATGTCACAATGGAAACCCCTACCGATGGACTTGAGAGGGTAAACTTAAGGGAGTGTGTGAGGTAAATAAACCTCCAGTGTCATATCAACTACATTAAAATAATAACACCAGTATTCACACTTACTGTATTATAATCTCCAACAACCTCTTCTCCTGAGTCTACCATTTTCCCAGTAACCCTCAGTTTTCCTGGCTGTCCTGGCTCAATTTCTTCAACCTAGAAACACAAAATTCAAATAAACTTGCACTGATCCACCAATTAATTACGAAAACAGAGGGAAAAAAATTAAGTTAATTTATTACATATAATTATAAGATTATATTATTTATCAACAAAATAGAAGTTAATATTGTAACCAAACATTGTAATTATTTTTAAACATAGGAATCTGTAAGAATCTAAAATTGATTATAAGTCAGTAACAGGTGTCTTTAGAGTGGACTTTACTGAAATATTCCAAAGTGTTTTAAGTGAGTATAAAGAAGCTTGGTTTGAACAGCTAATTTCAATAAACTTAGTTGACTAGGCAGTTACGAACTTCAGCCAAGATGAAAGATTCCACCTTTACACCACTAAACCTATAAAACTGACCTTTGTAGGAACACACGGTCGAATGAACTTTATTCCACAATGCTCCGACATGTGAGAGCCAATTCTTTCAGCTATATTCTGGTCAAATCCTCGGAGTAATATGGACCGAACCATCACCGTCACATCTAGGCCTATTCCTTTCAGAAACCCAGCACATTCCAAAGACACATAGGAAGCCCCAATTAACAACGTCTTTCCAGGACAATATGGTAATGAGAACAGATCATCACTGGAACATAAGATAGAATCACTTAAACTAAGACTTTCACGGTTTTGTTTTAATACCACAACATGTACCCCATATTCTTCATTACTGTTCACGCTTCATTCCACACACCCTAACATCTATATTCCTTACTACCAGTTACTATTAACAAATTTATCGGATCAATTTCTTTGTCTCCTTGATTTAACAAAGGCTTATTTGTACGCACTCTTACCTGGTGATGCCGTATTCTTTAGCTCCTGGACAATTAGGATACCTCGGTCTTTCTCCTGTAGCAATGATGAAGTGTTTGGCAGTGTGAAAACTTTCCTTTTTCTTCTTATCGACAGCCTGCAACATTTATATCAAAACATATTGTAGGCCTTTCTGAAGCACACAACATTAAAAACTTAGTAAAATAAACAACCTTAAAATATTGCTGTAACTAGGAATCATCTAAACTTTGCAGTAGTACTTAAGTATTACATCATCCCAGATATTAGCCTAAACTTTACAGTAGTACTTAAGTATTACATCATCCCAGATATTAGCCTAAACTTTACAGTAGTACTTAAGTATTACATCATCCCAGATATTAGCCTAAACTTTACAGTAGTACTTAAGTATTATATCCTAAATATTAGCCTAAACTTTGCAGTAGTACTTAAGTATTATATCCTAAATATTAGCCTAAACTTTGCAGTAGTACTTAAGTATTATATCCTAAATATTAGCCTAAACTTTGCAGTAGTACTTAAGTATTATATCCTAAATATTAGCCTAAACTTTACAGTAGTACTTAAGTATCATATCATCCTAAGTATTAGCCTAAACTTTGCAGTAGTACTTAAGTATGATATCATCCAATCGTTTATTTGAATCATTTTTTCCTTGGGAAATGAACATTAAATTTGTTAAGTTAATTCAAGTATATAAATCAATAAAGTTTTACCTTAATTTTATGATCCCCAACAAGCTCTGCATGAGCATTGATGTATTTCACTTGCTTCTCACGCAAAGCCACTCGATAACCCCAATTAAGTGACCCTATGTAATTCTGAATCTCTCCCGTCATTTTCTCCCACGAATGTTGAACTAAAATAAAAATAATAAATAACTCGTGTATTCTACTCTCGACCACTTATTAAATGTTACCGAGCACAAAGTTAAACCTAAACAATTACACAGGTTTGCAATTGTCTAATTCACATGAGACTTGATACAGTTTCATCCGATTCACAGGAGACTCTTGATACAGTTTCATCCGATTCTAATTCACAGGAGACTCTTGATACAGTTTCATCCGTCAGCTTTATACCAGGATCAAAAAACATTGAACAAGAAAATTTGGTTGACACAAAGAAAGTTCTATTACCTCCACTTCACATAAAACTGGGCTTGACGAAGCAGTTTGTAAAAGGTCTTAGACAAACAGGGCGACTGTTTCAAGTATCTATGTAGGCAATTCCCAGTTCTTTCAGAAGTGAAACTTAAAGAAGGGATTTTTGTTGGGCCTCAGATTAGCAAATTGATTTTGGATGAACAGTTCGAAAAGACAATGATGAAAGTTGAAAAAGAAGAGTGGATTGCTTTAAAGATGTTATTGACAAATTTTTAGGAAACAACAAGGACCTAAATTACAAAAATACTGTCAATAACATGCTCAATAAATTCAAAGAGTTGGGTTGTAATGCGAGCTTGAAAGTTCATTTCTTACACTCACTATTTCCCTTAAAATCTCTGTGTCATCAGCAAAGAACAATGGGAAAGGTTTCATCAAGACATCAGGGGAAATGGAGGGGAGGTATCGGGGAAGGTGGAACATCAGCATGACAGCCGATTACTGCTGGTTATTGAAACAAGATGTTCCAGATGCAACACGTAGTTTTGAGACTAAAAGACAGATTTCACACACAAAAAATGATAATCAGGACGAATGAGGATGCATATTCGTTTGACAACAGTGTTCTTCCCTTTTCTTCAGTATGTTTGTATTTTTGTTAACAAACATAATAATAATAAAAGAAAAATGTTTATTATGGTAAATGAAATAATAATTTGATCTAAGTTTTCTTCTTCCCTATCTGTAAAAAAATCCTAATGTGATAGAAATAAAAAATATATATTGGTTTTGAAATCTGCGTAGCTGAATTATGGAAAAGCTGTTATTAAAACTAAAACAACTTTTATGAAGTTTAAATTCACAGGACTGTATTATCTGCTGATCAAATCACAACAGTCAGTGGCAATGTTACAAATTATCCCTATGTTACAGTAGTAAAAGTTTTTTTTGGTTCAATGTCCATAACCACACGAGAAATGTTGACTCTTGACAGTGTCTTATTAAAACAAACAGATTGTTTACTCTTTCACAAAATTCTCAAGCAGGACAAAAGTTAGGTAACTACTGCTGGCTCAACACCTAATATTGAGTTATAACGTACCATAATTCAAGACTTACCATGATCTGGTACATCCCATCCAAACTTCTTTGCCTCTTCAAGGGATTCACCTACATAAATAAATAGATTGTTAGAAGGTAAAAACATGCAAGTGTAAGTATACTTGGTCTATATTTTATAGCATAAAAGTATTAAACGAACTACGAGT